CTAAAATTCTTAAGAACAATATTTCACAGAAAACTTGCATTTATAATAAAGAGGCATAACTACTTTGATCATCAATATTTCAATGATAAAATCATTGCAGAAAATTCAGAACTTGTTTTTTTTTTTGTGTTTTGATAGAACGTAAATTTGCATGCCAAATAACACAATCACTTAAATCCTTTTCTTAAAAAAGTCTCAGCATAACTGGAGCAACAGTATGTTGATAGTAGCAAAAATTTAACTTATTCTGTCTTTTTGATACAACATGTTTACAAGACTACTTATTCTGTCTTTTTGATACAACATATTTACAAGCCTAATAGAAACACAATTATTGAATTCCCCTTCAAAAGTAGTCCAGCACAAGTCATACTAAAAATTTCCACAACCCCCCCCCCCCCCCCCCCAAAAAAAAAAACAACAAGAGGGCCATGATGGCCCTGAGGTCGCTCACCTGTATATAGGCCTGCCACCCCCCCCCAAACGTTGCAGGGCCAATTTAACCCAAGGGCTTTTATTTGCACAAACTCGGTAGACACCCATAAGAAGATGTTTCATGCTAAACATCTAAGCTCTAGCTCATTGGGCTTTATGAAAGAAGATTTTTTTTTAAGTTTTTACTATACACATATAGTTAAAAACAATGACACCCCTGGGGCCGGACCAGTTTTGACCCCAGGGCTTTTATTTGAACAAACTTTGTAGACACTTACTAGAAGATGTTTCATGCTTAATATCTAAACTCTAGCTATTTGGGTTTTTTCAAAGAAGATTTTTAAGTTTTTGCTATACACATATAAAGAAAATCAATGACCCCCGGGGCGGGGCCAATTTTGACCCCAGGTCTTTTATTTGAACAAACTTTGTAGACACTCACTAAAAGATGTTTCATGCTTAATATCTTAACTCTAGCTATTTGGGTTTTTTCAAAGAAGATTTTTTAAGTTTTTGCTATACACATGGAAAATCAATGACCCCCGGGGCGTTGCCAATTTTGACCCCAGGGCTTTTATTTGAACAAACTTGGTAGACACCTATTAGAACATGTTTGATGCTAAATATCTTAGCCATAGCTCTTTGAGTTCTTTAAAAGAAGATTTTTTAAGTTTTTACTATATGCATATAGGGAAAATCAATGATCCCCCGGGGCGGGGCTAATTTTGACCCCAGGGCTTTTATTTGAACAAATTTGGTAGACACTTATTAGAATATGTTTCATGCTAAATATCTTAGCTGTAGCTCTTTTGGTCCTTTAAAAGAAGATTTTTTATGTTTTTACTATATGTATATAAGGAAAATCAATGACCCCCCGGGGCGGGGTCAATTTTTACCCCAGGGCTTTTATTTGAACAAACTTGGTAGACATCTATTAGAACATGTTTGATGCTCAATATCTTAGCCATAGCTCTTTGAGTTCTTTAAAAGAAGATTTTTTAAGTTTTTACTATATGCATATAGGGAAAATCAATGACCCCCTGGGGCGGGGCCAATTTTGACCCCAGGGCTTTTATTTGAACAAACTTGGTAGACACCCATTAGAACATGTTTCATGCTAAATAACTTAGCTCTAGCTCTTTTGGTTCTTTAAAAGAAGATTTCTTCAGATTTTACTATATGCATATTGGGAAAATCAATGACCCACCGGGGCGCGGCCAATTTTAACACCAGGGCTTTTATTTGAACAAACTTGGTAGACACTTATTAGAACATGTTTCATGCTAAAAATCTTAGCTCTAGCTCTTTTGGTTCTTTAAAAGAAGATTTTTTTAAGTTTTTACTATATGCATATAGGGAAAATCAATGACCCCCCTGGGACGGGGCCAATTTTGACCCCAGGGCTTTTATTTGAACAAACTTGGTAGACACTTATTAGAACATGTTTGATGCTAAATATCTTAGCCATAGCTCTTTGAGTTCTTTAAAAGAAGATTTTTTAAGTTTTTACTATATGTATGTAGGGAAAATCAATGACCCCCGGGGGCAGGGCCAATTTTGACCCCAGGGCTTTTATTTGAACAAACTTGGTAGACACTCACTAGAAGATGTTTCATGCCAAATATCTAAGCTCTAGCTCTTATGGTTTTTTAAAAGAAGATTTTTTAAGTTTTTACTATATGCATATAGGGAAAATCAATGACCCCCCGGGGCGGGGCCAGTTTTGACCCCAGGGCTTTTATTTGAACAAACTTGGTAGACACTTATTAGAACATGTTTCATGCTAAATATCTTAGCTCTAACTCTTTTGGTTCTTTAAAAGAAGATTTTTTAAGTTTTTACTATATGCATATAGGGAAAATCAATGACCCCCCGGGGCGGGGCCAATTTTGGCCCCAGGGCTTTTATTTGAACAAACTTGGTAGACACCTATTAGAACATGTTTGATGCTAAATATTTTAGCCATAGCTCTTTGAGTTCTTTAAAAGAAGATTTTTTAAGTTTTTACTATATGCATATAGGGAAAAATCAATGACCCCCTGGGGCGGGGCCAATTTTGACCCCAGGGCTTTTATTTGAACAAACTTGGTAGACACCCATTAGAACATGTTTCATGCTAAATATCTTAGCTCTAGCTCTTTTGGTTCTTTAAAAGAAGATTTTTTAAGTTTTTACTATATGTATATAGGGAAAATCAATGACCCCCCGGGGCGGGGCCAATTTTGACCCCAGGGCTTTTATTTGAACAAACTTGGTAGACACTCACTAGAAGATGTTTCATGCCAAATATCTAAGCTCTAGCTCTTACGTTTTTTTAAAAGAAGATATTTAAAGTTTTTTCTTTTGGTTGCCATGGCAACCAGAGTTCTGCATGGAATTAAATTCTTTGAACAATTTTTAAAGGTGACCACCAAAGGAACATTCCTGTGAAGTTTGGATGAAATTGGCTTAGTGGTTTATGAGGAGATGTCATTTAAAGTAAAAGTTTACGGACGGACGGACGGACGGACGGACGACGGACGGACGACGGACGAAAAGCGATCACAAAAGCTCACCCTGTCACTTTGTGACAGGTGAGCTAATAAAAAAAGCTTATAAAAATGCCAGAACTCAATAAACATGTAATCTATGTTTGTCCTACAGATACAATGTCCAAAGTAAAATGAGAACAATGAAATTGATCATCATTTACATGGCCTGCTAAAACCTCTATTGAGGTCAATGAATTCAAGCAGATTGAATACAAGCTACATGTAATGCCCTACAGCACAAAAACTATCAACTAAATCATCCTTTAAATAATAAAATTGATATACCGTTATATACTGTAAATGAATATTACTTTAGGAAAAACTAAAATGAGACTAAGCCTTAATTAAACATAAAGACAAAAAACACAAAAAAAACCCCACCTTTTTTATTCAAGTGTGAAAACTCTGCCAAAAATCATTCAAGCAGAAAACCTGTGTTATATGTGCACAGTGCAAGTGCTTGAGCTACCGATCAATCCTGCAAAGTTGCATTGAAATTACATTTGTGGTTAGAAAGAAGTAGTACAGACAAACTTTAAAAATAAAAAATCATTTAGGGCCATAACTCTGACAATAAAATATGCACAACTATACTTGATTAAAGTTTGGATGAAATTGCACCTGGAGTTTCTTAGGAGCACTCCAGACAACCTACATGTATAACATAACCGTTTTCATTGAAAAGCCTCCAGTTATAAGTTCAAACTGCTATGAAACGATGAAAAATGCTTCAATATTAATGAAACTTGGCACAAATTTTGACTGGACCATAGCCTCTGTAACAGCATGCCCAATCTTACATTTCCTGTTACCATGGCAACGTAGGGGAACATCTCAAAATTGCCAAAAATCACTCTTTTGCAACATTTTTTTTCCGTCAAAACTAATTTCAAAGTACTGCAACTTCTCAATGGATTGAGAGATATTCAGCATTGGTAACACGTTACCTTAATATCGACCTGAGGCCATTTTTAGCCTGTCACACGTCCAAAATTGTCTTGGCGATGATGGGGGCTATGTCCCCCTTAAAACATCCAAACAGAAGGAGGCACATCCCCCATTCTGGCAACCCTTTGATTTACCTTTTTAATAGGGGGTGGTGCCGAAAGAGACCACTTTTTTCAACAACAGTTCTCAAACGAAAAACAGTGTTTATTATGGGGTTTGAGGCCTCAAAATGGGGGGGGGGGGAAAGCCATCAAAACATGTCTATATGAGGTAAAAGGTGGGTCATCATCATACTGTATATATTATTTAATATACCGTATGTGTTCCTATTTTAACATAACCCCAGGGGCGTACATTTTTTCAAAAGGGGGACACTAATTACAACTATAAAATGTGCTGTAAAATAATTATGTTTATTAAAGATACAATTAAATAATAAAGGTCAGTTATCATTCTTAAGATCTAATATATGGCCAGGTACAAGATTTTTTTCTCCTTTTTCCATAGTGCTGATAATTATTAGTAACAAAATTTTAATTGACTGTCTTATTTTTTTCACACAACAAGTTAGAGTATTGATGGGTTTTTTTTTTGTATGATGTATTAATGAGCCGTACACATGCTGTGTGATGTTTAAATACATGTCATGATGTGTGTGCAGCATCTTGGTGAGAAGGGTAAACATTATAATATGTGGCAAAAGTATTTGGTCTAGAAAATATGCGAGTACGCGAAATGTGCCTGGGACAATAGATGCATCTTGGTATTTAACATAATTTGACCTATCTAGAGTAGGATTTGATCATACAGTAGACAATGTGTGTAATACCTACTCCAACTAATTAGACTTGTCAAAGGGCGCTGTCTTTTTCCAACGGCAACGGTTTGACAGTGAGAAAAAAAGTCTGTAAAATGGGTCAAACCGTTCACGCCGAATTAATTAGGCTAATATACCAAGGAGTCAAACCTTCATGATTTTATACAAACCTAGTAAGGTCAAGGTTGAATAAAAATTATGGAAACAACAAAAATAATGAAGGTTAACAAACTGTAAATTTTTTAAAAATCTTTCACTGAAAATCCTACCTGTAAAGACAATCTTTCAGCAACAGCTTAAACAGTTGACACAGTATCCTACTCTCTCAATATGCAGAAAGACGGGTGAACAAACTGGAAATAGGACTCGAGAAAAACAATAACAAACATTAATAATGTGCTGCGCAGTGTCTGACGTATGTACCACGTGGTTTTAATATCAAAATCCATAACAAAACCACGTGATCTAAGAACGAAATAAAAATATATACATTTGTATAAACAGTACTGACCGACTTACAACGCTTCTTTTTCCTAAAAAACACAATTGTTGTGTCTAATTGTACTGGGGGATATTTGAACATATTTGGCCTCGTCTCTCTACTTTTTTGGCATTTTAAATTACCATACTGCAGTATACAGTATTCAAGGGAAACAAAGTAATGTTTAACACAATTGAATATATAGCAGTAGGTCTAGTCACGTCCCTTGATTTTTTCTGAACTTTTTTTTTCTTATTAGAGATCTACCTATAATCATTAGATAAAAGTTTAATATGTACATAATATGTACATATTAAACTATTATCATAATGACGATGATATTTATGATGGACACACCAATAGTCTCGTTGAATGATCCCACACCCTTGGTGTCAGTGCATGTACTTACAATATTTAATAAGAATTTGGGTGTGTGGCTTTTACTGCCTTTATCACACACCCGTGCCGATTTTGCGACTCCGTAAAAATGGTATTGCACGGCCGTGCATATATTTTGACGTGACGTCATTAGCGTGTAAAGACGCGCAAAATGTAAGCGTAATACTATAGGCGCGTCAATGAAAAATGACTCTTATTTCACTTTAAGCGGTCTTTATTTTGGGTATGCAATAAATAGAATATTAAATTTGCGAATTTATTGCGCTCGTTGAATAAAATAATATTATTCAACGAGTGCAATAAATTCAGTATTGAACTTACACTCGATCATTCAATATCCTCTATTTATTACACTTCAGCACCGCGGTTTATGTAATAATATTAATGTTTTTCCATATGCCTAATAATTTAAACAAGATATGAACCTATGTGAGGATATAATGTAAGATGCATTTACATAAAAATACACGGAACATAAATCTGAAAATATCCCCAATATGAAACGAAAAATCCTAACAAGAAAGGCTATTTATAAGATATAAATCAAATACATGTACATTTATAGTCTGACATCATTCGTACTCCACCTCTGATTCATGTGGGGAAGTTGGCAGTCACAAATCTTGTTCGGTTCCGTAAGCTAAATATCATTATCCTAGGGGATATTTATACTTTGTTGAACGAAACGGAATCACAATTTATAGAGTTGAAGACAAGGTTTGAACACAACGCTGACTGTAATAGTGAAATTTCAGCTTTATTGGTGCATGTAATTTCAAATTATATATGGCAAATATGTTCTCAAAATTTAATTTGTGTACGATAATTAGATAGTTTCCACATTTCTGTATTTGATTTATATCTTGTCATTTCTAAAAGTGATGAGTCTTCAGAAGCAGGATAGGTAGTCTGCGATTTTGTTTATGCATCATGAATGATTATTTATATGTGAAGTTTATACCAGCATTATAAAGGAGGAAATTGGTCATGAATAACAAATCTTGTTCCGTTCCGTTCCGATAACTATCATTATCATTGGGGATATAAAATTTTATACTTTACGGAATGAAACGGAATCACAATTTTTAGAGTTGAAGACAAGGATTGTACACAATGCTGACTGTAATAGTGATACTTCAGCTTTATTAGTGCATGCACATTCAAATTATATGGCAAACATGTTTTTTAAATTTAATTTGTTTACGATAATAATATAGTTTCCAACACGCACACTTAGATCTGTAGGTTAGAGCGTCGGTCTTCGGATTGCATAGTCGCAAGTTCGATCCTCGGGCGGGCCATTTTCTCCGTGCCGATTTGATAAAACATTGTGTGTGACATCATTCGTCCTCCACCTCTGATTCATGTGGGGAAGTTGGTAGTTACTTGTGGAGAACAGGTAAGTACGGGTACAGAATCCAGCAACACTGTTTAGGTTAACTGCCCATCGTTACATAACTGAAATACTGTTGAAAACGGTGTTAGACCCCAAACAAACAAAGATAGTTTCCACATTTCTGTATTTGATTTATATGTTGTGATTTCTAAAAGTGACGAGTCTTCATTAGCAGGATAGGTAGCCTGCGATTTTGTTTATGCATCATATGTGAAGTTTATACAAGCATTATAAAGGAGGAAATGGGTATTGAATAACAAATTTTGTTCCGTTCCGTTCCGCTACATATCATTATCCTAGGGGATATTTATACTTTGTGGAACGAAACGGAATCACAATAAATAGAGTTGAAGACATGGTTTGTACACAATGCTGACTGTAATAGTAATATTTCAGCTTTATTAGTGCATGTAATATCAAATTATATATGGCAAGCATGTTTTCAAATTTAATTTGTTTACGATGATTATTAATATTTTTTAGAACTTTATATAATACACTAGAAATGTGTCATCATGCCACGGATGCCCCCGCATGCAGCCAAAATTTCAGATGGTGCATTAATTATTTTTTTCATTTTAAGTTCAAAGCCCTTAAAAGTTTTCAATGTTAACACAAACCATTTTCATACAATGTTCATGGCACTGAAATTATTCAGTCTTAACCTTTTAAAAATAGCATATTGCATATTTGTAGCCAAAATTATGGCTATAAGTATGAGTGCTGAAAGAACCTGAAAGTTCAAAATTTTTTCCAACATTCAGGAAAGATAAGTTTGTCTAAAAATCATTGAACCACGACCAAATTCAAACTTAAACTGCTTATTCCTAAGATGTATCTATATTATTTTCAAAGTGAAAAGGACATAACTCTGCCAAAAAATATCAAACCATGACCAAATTCCAACTTGACCTGCCCATTCCTTTGACATATCCATATGTCAAATTTAAGTTGAATATGTAACACTGTTGGGTAGATAATGAACAGAAACTGTAAATTTCGTATTATTTTCAAAGTGAAAGGGGCATTACTCTGCCAAAAATCATTGAACCATGACCAAATTCGAACTTGGCCTGGGCATTCCAAAAACATATCGATATGTCAAATTTGCGTTAAATGTGTTGTACCATTGGGGAGATAATAAATGGAAACTGAAAATTTCATATTACTTTCAAAGTGAAAGGGGCATAACTCTGCCAAAAATCATTAAACCTTGACCAAATTTGAACTTGACCTGCGCATTCCTTTGACGCATCCATATGTCAAGTTTGAGTTGAATGTGTACCTTTGGGGAGATAATGAACAGAAACTGAAAATTTCATATTGTTTTCAAAGTAAAAGGGGCATAACTCTGCCAAAAATCATCGAACCATGACCAAATTCAAACTCGACCTGTATTTTTTCATGACATATCCATATGTCAAGTTTGAGTTGAATGTGTTGTACCATTGGGGAGATAATAAATGGAAACTGAAAATTTCATATTATTTTCAAAGTAAAAGGGGCATAACTCTGCCAAAAATCATCGAGCCATGACCAAATTCAAACTCGACCTGTATTTTCATATAACATATCCATATGTCAAGTTTGAGTTGAATGTGTTGTACCGTTGGGGAGATAATGAACGGAAACTGAAAATTTCATATCATTTTCAAAGTAAAAGGGGCATAACTCTGCCAAAAATCATCGAACCATGACCAAATTCGAACTTGACCTGTATTTTCTCATGACATATCCATATGTCAAGTTTGAGTTGAATGTGTTGTACCGTTGGGGAGATAATGAACGGAAACTGATGATGGCGGAATGACAGAATGACGGAAGGACGGAATGACGGAACAGGGTAACACTATATGCCCCGGCCATTACATGGCGGGGGCATAAAAATGAGTGTACTGGATATGACGGCCATTCGATACATATTAAAGAGGTCCTGATATCGCAAAAAATATTTAGATTGTCCACTCATTTTTTTTTCATTCGTCAGTTTATATGAATAATAAATATTAAATTACTGCAACAAGTGCAAAACATTTAAATATATAAATTTTATGGCGATAGGATTTCCTATATTGAATAAGTCAAGAACATAGTTTTTTTTTAAAAACAGGTTGCATGTAATAAATTCATGTACCTGTAATATAACAGGATGAAAAATTCCATTGACAAGAAAAAATAAATCTTGTTCCGTTCCGTTCCGTAGAATATCATTATTCTATGGGATATTTATACTTTGCGGAACGAAACGGAACAACTGTTTGCAGTACCCGAAGATTTTATATAAATAATGTCCATTTAGAAGTGGGTATTTAGATGGTTCAGTTCGAAAAAGCCATAAATCGACTGTTCGCTAGGCAGTTTCAATATTTCATTATTTTTATTTAATATATTTACATATTAGTAAAAAAATTGCTGTGCCCCGTGTGGTGCCTCAATGTTTGTTCCGTTCCGTTTCGTTCCGTTCCGCAAAGTATAAATAGTCACAAGAAACATTAACAACTGAAAATGTTATCGATGGTCTTACTATAAAATGCCGGACCTACATTTTTTTCGATTTTGCGTTTTTGGAAAATTCCGAAGCTTCAAGTGCTCCCGCTTCTTTTGCCTGACTCATTTTGAAGTCAACCTTCACATGTAGAAAAGCCGAACTTTCATTGGCCAACTCTTTTAAATTAGAAAATGCCGTAGCTACACATGATGTAGCTCCGGTGTTAAAACCACAGACACTTGGGGTTTGGAGCTCAAAACGCCTTTAAAATCCAAATAAAATGCATATTTGTCAATCCCAGCACATGTACTGATCATATATATCAAAAAAACTTAATATAAGCCGTTTTGAAAAAAAATCATATTTCAACATCTATAATAATACACAAGATAAAAATGTTCGCCGGAAAGAATCCGCACCCCTACCGTCATAATCACAATGTATTTTATTCCATTTCCAATATTTTCACATAATTCTATGGTCCATCGACACAGAAGATGAACGAAGCTATCCGATTATGTGGCCCCAGCTTTGCCGTGTGCAAAATGCGCAGCGCTTTTAAGTTTGGGAACCACATAATCGGATAGCTTCGTTCATAGCCGTCTGGTCCATTGAATTTATCGAAAGTTTTTGTCGTTGAAAAAAAACGGCGAGAATATTGAT